TGTTTGTATCATGGCCAATAACAGATGGATTAATGAAAATTCTCAGGTCATCAAGAATGGCCTGTATGTTTATACAGCCAGGCAGAAATTTCAGCAGGGGGATTGTGATAACGAAAGCAAAGCAGAGAGGACAACTATAAGAGCTGCAAGTGCCATAGTTAAAAGAGAGTTGGTGATGTTTCTACTTTGGGGGGTATAGTGCCTTGAATTCAAAGACAAAAGGGTGTTTCATGTGCATTCCATAAGTCCTCACCCCACCTGCAACTTCTTCAAGCAGCTACTTTGTCTTTCCCTGAGGCTGCTCCACAACTGCACTGCAATCCACATTGTTTGGTTTAAGGAGTTTCAGACTTGGGCAATGTGAATGTCCCTATGCACTCCAAAGTATCTTGTTGCCTCTGAATCAGTGGTGAAATTAAAAAATTTCCCCTACCGTGGGCGTGGCTTGTTGGGAGGAGGTCATGTGACTGGGTGGACGTGGCCAACTCGACATCACTCACATTGAGGGGCTCCTCACCGGCCCCTCCCCTCCCAGCCACTCCTTGTCGCGAATGGCAGGAAAATGGGGAGGGGAATATTCCTGCCTACCATCCTTCCCTCAGTCTGTCCTGAGATTGAGGAATGGATGACAGGCAGGAAAATCCCTTTCCTCATTTTCCTGCCTTTCACGAGAATGGCTCCATTCCAGCTGCTGCCCCTGTCCCCCTCCCTCCTGGGGACCACCTTAAAAAGGACAGGCTGCAGCAGCTCCGTTGTGAACAGAGGGAGAAAAATTAGTATTCTCTCTGCTGCATTTAACATTGAATTCTGTGGAATATCGAGCGGCTGGAAGAGATGAGCGGCGACCAGCCGGGCGTGGGTAGGGCCAAGGAGGGGTAAGTACTACCGGTTCGCCCAAACTGGTCCAAACCGGTAGGATTTCACCCCTGCTCTGAATCTGTAGCTTTCCATAGCCTTTCTCCATTCAGGTCTTACATTTAAACTTGTGTTCCCCCTTTCCACCAAATATTTGCATGGCCCTGGCAACTCTCTGCTTCTACAATTGCCAGAAATTGGTGGTCTCACTATTCTGATTTGGGAAACACAGAGGAGCTGTTGAATAGATCTAAAAATAGAGTTAATTCTTTTTAAAGAACAAAACTAAATGTTGTGTGATAGTTACAAAAACAAAAGAAAGAAAGAAAGGATGGGGGAGACACCCACTTTTCACTGAAGGCAGGACACAAAAGTTGTTGCTTTACAAAAATGGTACGTGTAAGATAAGCATTAAAAGAAAATTGAGGAAATCTAGTATAAAGACTCAGCCCTAAAGCTTCCAGAGAAGACTATAAAACCACCTTGCCAGAATTAAGAAAAAAATGGGCCGGGTAAATGCATAGATTTTTCCAGACACAAGGACAATTCATGATCACATCATTTCTTCCAGATCTAAAATATTTTTATGGTTTCCATGTCAAAAAAGCAAACAAAATAAAAAAATTGTTTCCAAAAAAGCTGTCCTTCCTACAACATGGCCAATTAGGAATACTAAAGCAGAATATTCTTATTATTTATTTTATTTTTATTTATTTTATTATTCATATTTCTATGCCGCCCACTCTCTGAGGACTCTGGGCGGCTTACACCAAAGACAGTATACTAAATAGCATATTGCCCCCAACAATCTGGGTCCTCATTTTATCCACCTCGGAAGGATGGAAGGCTGAGTCAACCTTGAGCTGGTGAGATTTGTTCCGCTGATCATTATAATTATAATTTAGTATAATTATTAAAACCTTTAAGAAAATAGCTGCTGAACTAAATGACATTACCTCACAAAGTAACTTGCATTTTTTAAAATAAAACTTAATATGAACATCCTTACTTCAAAATGCATTGTTTCCCTAAAAATGAATCTTAGAGTGAATAAGCAGTGAAACACAGGCAACCGTGTACCAGAAAAATAACAGCACACAACCAAGGGGAACAAAGGAGCAAAAGATGGCACAGGTGATGACATCATTATGTAACATTATTTGCATCAGACATCATGATACAAGTACAGAATTGTAGGGCTTGGGAGATGACATCATGTACATGATGTACACTTTGATATTACTGCTTTTTTTATCTTGGGTGCAGGCAGGAAGAGGGGGGACCAATCCTTATGCTATATCAAATCTTTGCCACCATTAACCCAGAATCCATTAACTAGTACTATTACTGTTTGACCTCTATGGTACCATAATTGGTTTATTCTTACAAGTCTTGAAATCAGTTAATATCTTAAGATTAAGGGAGGAGAAAAGAGGGTAGGTTTGAAATCTGAGATGGGTTCAAGAGGCACTTTACATTTAATTCATGATAATTAAATCTAAGATAGCCACCACCTTCTGGATATTTTGAAGAAATCTGGATCTTCAATAGCTTTCATTCACCTGCTGGCTAAGACAGCCATAGATATGAGCAACAAACCCATTTCTTTGATACAATTTTCTAGCAAGACTGGAAAAGCTGGTTTCTTTCCTTGAATCCGTCAAGGTGGCCTTCAGGATGACTCCTACAAAGAGACTTGATTTAGGCAGCTCTTCAAAGATGTATGCAGTTGAGGTAATCCCAACCAACTTCTTCTCTGGTCTCTTTCTTCTCCTTCCTTCAGCCATCCCCTGAGAAAAATAATCATTCTGCCATGCCAGGAAAAGGTCAAATGAAGTTTACCACGGTGGAATCTTTTTGAGTCAATCATGGCTCCAGGCAAGATAAGTTCCTGCAGTTTTCATGGAAAGATTTTGAAAGTGGCTTGCTCTTGCCTTCTTTCTAGGGCTGAGACAAAGTGACAGGCTCAAAGTCACCCAGCTGGCTTCTATACCTAACTTTTGACTAGAAGTCAGGTTTCCCCACTCTTAGTCAAACACCTAAACTGCTATACCAAACTAGCTTTAATTTTGCCATTAGGATATGAAAACTCACATGATTGAATACTGTCCAAAGCAGGTTGGTATAATTGTGAGATATTTGTCATTTGTCAGTGACTCTCTTAACCTAAAGCCTTTGGTCTGGGGCAGATAATAACTACATAATTAAAAAGACCCTTTCCAAAGCATCTTGGCAGGAAATGAGGTTCTTAAGACACCGCCATCTGCTGGTATGTAAAAGCGCTGTTTGATGCCGAGTGTCAATGAGCTCACAGAGAGGAATTATTGATATGAATTGGTACCAGTCCCTCCGGAAGGCGCAGATCTCTCTCTCTCTCTCTCTCTCTCTTGCCATAGATAATTGCCATTCTGGCTAATACTGTAGAGCTTCAAAGAATATTAGAATAGCTTCTTCTCAGATCAGCTAGCCTAAGACTATTGGGGTTGTCCTGCTCTGAGCCTTTGCATCTTCAGACAGCCTCATCAGGTGTAAGATTTGTGGCCCCCCATTGCTGCTTATCTTTCAAGGGTGATTACAAGACCCCCTCTTGGGATTGGATAAGCTTTTTAAGAAGCAGCCTTTTCAGAGAATAATTGAGGTGGCTGTCTTTAAATCAGGACTACTAATAGTTCTAGATTGCTATTCTCAAGTTTATTCATTATCAATAGTTAATACTGATATGTAAACTGGATTTATTAAAATAAAGAATATGATACAATCTGCCTCTTTCCCATTCATTTTACTAGATAATCCAGTACTGGGAGAGTACAAAGACTGTTTTTTTGCTTTCCTCCTCCTCTTCTTCCTTCTTTATTTGAGTAATATAATAATTTTATACTGATAGAAATTAGGTATTTATATTTCCGGCCCATCCCATCTGCTGGCACATTTACAAGTTGTGACCTGAACCCTCACTGCATCTTTGATGTCTGTGATTAATTAGTGAAGCAAATACAAATGTATTCAAAACACTATTATGTACGTAGCATAACACTGAGTTGCTTCCTGTTTATGAAATTAATGCACTGTCAGCTAAGCTACTGTCTGAGATCAGAGTTCCTTCCATGGTTAACATAAATAAAACTCAAGATGATGCATATATATGCTGAAATTTCATTTCAACTTATTTGTACATAGGAAGTATAAAATTAAAGTGTAAATTGGATTCACAATTAGTCATACTAAAGTGTAAATTCGTTGACGTAATGAAACAACTTAGTCACTTACTGATTGTACTCAAATTCCAGTTTTTCACTGCTATGTTACTATCTCCAAGGCTGCCTTTGATCCTCCCATAGTGTCAATGACTCATTGAAGAGGGCATCTGGCCACATGGGCGTGTGTGTGTATCCCAAAAAAGGTGAGCCAGGCAACCCGCCTTCCCATCCTCATCTGCATTGTTCCTTTGTTGGGTTTGCTTTCTGCTGCCCAAAATTGAGCTGATGTTGACATAGTCCAATGTAATGCTATAAATGTACAGCTAGGTATTTGGCAAAATTATATGTAGAACATCCATCTGCCAGTTAGCACCTTAAAGGCGTACATTGTCCTTTAGTCTTGTGCCTCAGATCCATCTTCTGGCACCCCGATTTGCAGTTCAGCCCCTGCAAACCGGGATGATGCAAACTTTGATGGCGGTGTCAGAAGATCCACAGATCAGATTGCTCCAGATTCATGGGGCAAATCTATTTTTATTTAGTTTTTAGAGGATTTATATGACCACCAACTCACTTTCAGTCACTCTAGGCGGTTTACAAAAAAGACCCCTCGGAGACAGCCTGATCCTATGCTAATTTATTCAGAGGCAAGCCCTCCCTCCACCCGTTCAGTGCTTCTGCCGTTCACCCTTCCTCTTTTTTGCCCACTCCTTTTGCAGCCACCACGTAGGCGTGTTTGCAGCCACCAGGTAGTCCGGATTTTTTTTGCAGCCCAGGCTGCCAAAAAAAACAAAACAGAAACAGAAACCCTGCGTCTGTCGAAACCTCATAAAAGCTATGAGCTTCGATCACTTCCTTTCTTCTCCTGTTTAAAAGCTTTGCTATATTAACACGTCCCTTCCCACCCACCCCCGGAACCTCTGCTGTTGCTGCTCAGTTCCTAGTCGGAACGTAAGCCTACCGGCCCCTAAAATGGCGGCGCCCGTGACCGCGCGTTGCAAGGTTCTTGCAGACGCTGAGCCCCCGGTTCTGCCAGGCGGGGCGGCGCCGTACGGAAATTTCCCCAACTACTCTTGCTTCCATCCGCCCGAAGGACGCGTCTCCCTCTTGCCTGCGACTCTTTTGAGCGAGCTGTTCCCAACCCCGCGTGCGGATCCCCTGTTGGGCTTGGATGTTGGATGCAATTCGGGGGTAAGAAAGAGAAGGAGCGGGAGGGGCGGGGCGGGGGTCTCAGCATCTTTGCATATATTGCAGCTGCTTCCCCGTTGGTTTCTTCATGCTTGCAAATGGGCGTTCAGCTCTTGCAAACGCAATCCGTTATTTTCATATTACTCTGGACGTTATTGATCTCGGCATCAATCTCTCAGAAGTCCAGAGAACCCAACTGCAAAGAGTAGCTGGCAAATCCAGGCTGTCTATATTCGAAGAAATTGCAAAGCATTTTTTGTAGGTCAGGTTTTCCCATCCTGGTATGTTCCAAATGCGTTGGATCGACTCATCAGTTCCCCAGCGATAATTGGCAAAGACGAGGAATGGTTTGACATTATAGTTCAGCCGCATTTATAAGAAACCCCTAAGAAATAGGATGCTTATATAGACAGTTCGATTTAGATTTATATAGACAGCCGGATTTCCTTTATGGGGTTAGCCAGGATGGACTCAGCCAGTGTCCTGCTGAATCTGAGTTTCTGGATTCATGAACTATGGTTTGTCTGAATTTTGTTTAAGATCATAGAGGTGCAATTACAGTTAGTCTAGGGCAGGGGTCTGCAACCTTAAATACTCAAAGAGCCATTTGGACCTGCTTCCCATAGAAAAGAAAACACCAGGAGCCACAAAACCTGGGTGGGCGTGGCCAATTCAGTGTCACTCACTTCCAGCAGTCACATGACCCCCCAGCCACGCCTACCCAGCTGGTCATTAGGGCAGAGAACCAGTTGTTAAAAAACACTGGGAACCACAAAATCCTTTTGACATATCTCTCTCCCCCCTCCCTCCCTCCCTCCCTCCCTCTCTCTCTCTCTCTCTCTCTCTGTCTGTCTCTCTCTCTCTCTCTCTCTCTCTCTCTCTCTGTATCTCTCTGTCTCTGCCCTAGCCGTTTGTCCATCCCTTGCCGTCGCCCTTATCTTCTCAGGCCAGGCAAGGAGTGACTGGGAGGGGAGGGCGAGGGGCGGGGCCAGCCAGTGGTGGGATCATCTGACACGGAGCCACAGCAGAGGGCCCAAAGAGCCGCATGCAGCTCTGGAGTCGCAGTTGCTGACCCCTGGACTAGGGGGTGGGTACCTAGGAAAAGATTAGAACAAAAGTTGAGAGATTTCTCTCTTTCCTCTCTTCAGGAACTCAGTGTCGCCCTCTATAAGCACCTCCTTGGCTTTAACCATACTAACCCGGAGCATTCTGTGAATGGAAAGGACTTCCGCCTCCTCTGCTGTGACATTGATGCAAACCTGATTGAGAGAGCCAAACAACACAGCCCTTTCCCTGGTTCCATTTCCTACACCACTCTCGATATCATGGACCCCAGTGCAAGAGAGACTCTGCTGACCTCCTACTTGAACAAGTTCGGTCGCTGTTGGTTTGACATTTGCTTCTGCATGTCAATAACTATGTGGATCCATCTGAATCATGGGGACAGTGGTCTGGTGAAATTCTTATCTTCCCTTGTGACTAAATGTACATATTTACTTCTTGAACCCCAGCCATGGAAATGCTACCGTGCAGCTGCTCGGCGCCTGAGGAAGTTGGGCCGGAATGACTTTGATCATTTCCATTTGCTCACCATCAAAGGGAACATGGCTGAGAAGATAACTCAGATCTTGACAAGAGATTGTGCCATGGAGTTTGTGTGTTGCTTTGGAAGCACTAGCTGGGACAGGAGCCTCTTGCTGTTTAAATCAAAAGAGAAAAAACATTTGAGATAATTCAGGATTTGTATATTCTTGTTGAAGGGGCGCGATGGCTCAGTGATGATGACGACATTGATGGCGTGATGGCTTGTTGAGGTGTTGTGATGGTAACATCATTCCATGCACTTTGGCGTATAGCCATACTGGCCATATGATCATGGAAAATGTCTTTGGACAACACTGCGTCTCTCAGCCAAGAAATAGAGATGAGCACAGCCCCCTAGATTTGGACACAACTGGACAGGAAAATCTTTAACCTACATTCTGGCATTTAATCAAAAGGAAAATGGCAGGTTATTGAGAGAACCAACTCTTTTGCCATGCGATTGAACTGTACGGATAACATGGGGTCTTGAAAATCATATATTTTAATATCAGAAATTATTTTCCAAATTTACCGATACACCTTGATTTGGTGTAGTCCATTGGTGAAATGTAAAATTTTGTTACTACCGGTTCTGTGGGCGTGGCTTGGGGAGGGTAATGTGACTGGGTGGGCATGGCCAACTTTTTTTTTTTTTTAGTTTTAAAAGCATTTTTTCTACAACCTTAAGAGGTTGCAGAAAAAAATGCTTTTAAAAGCCTCTGACAATCAGGCAACTCAGCTGGGATTGTCGGAGGCTTTTAAAGGCATTTTTATTTTCCACAACCCCTTCGGCCAAAGAGTTTGTAGAAAAAATGCTTTTAAAAGCCTCTGATGATCCCAGCTGAGCCGCGCGATCATCAGAGGCTTTTTATTTTACACTTTTAAAAGCATTTTTTTGGCCGAAGAGGTTGTAGAAAAAATGCTTTTAAAAGTAAAAAAAAAGCCTCTGATGATCACGCGGCTCAGCTGGGCATGGGGGGGGTGGGCAGGGATTTTTGCTTCCGGTTCTCCGAACCACCCGCTGCCAAAGCTACCGGATCAGGCGATCCGGTCCGAACCGGGAGCATTTCACCCCTGGTGTAGTCTCAAAATTTTGGAGATGGATCCTGCACAGAGAATTCCCACTAGATGGAAACAAAGTTTAATGTTTTTGGTCCTCCAGCAACAGGAAAATAAGATATGCTTGGTTTCGGTATCTCACAATTTTAATGATTCTTTTCTCATCACAGAAATTTGATTTCTGTTAGTTCTGAAATAAAGCCTCATATCGTTTTTGGCTTTTACTTTTGGCTCTATACTGGCTCTGTATTCCTTAATAAAATTTATATTTTGACAATATAACTGGCAATGCTTTTTAGGGAGATCTGTTGAAGCATGCTCAAGCCCTTCAGAACTGGGAAGGGGGCTGAATGCTACTCAACCACATTGATAAAACTTCCCTTCCTCCTTGGGTTCGAAGGCACATGATAGAATGAATGAATTTCAGTGTGGCAAACCAGATTCACACAATTCTTTGTTGGTATCCCAGACTCTGCTTTCATTTGCTTTCTTTTCAAAGCAACATAGAAGTGTGAAGTGGCAAGAACCACAGGAAGAGCCTGCTTAATACTTCGGAATAATTCTATAGAGGGAAATACTCTTGAGCAGGAAAAGAAGATAAAGATTATTTACATATTCTCCTGTTCAGCCTTCCACACAAACATCTCCTCCTTTGGGTGATTCTGAAATGCAGTAAGCAAATTCAAAATACGTACAATGAAAGATTATGCATAGCTGGGTATTCTTGCACCACTGTGAATAGCTAGGGGAGTACCAAAGGTGCTTGTCAAAAGGCAACTGGACTTTCTTGGTTGTTTTCCTTGAAAAACATTTCGCTTCTCATCCAAGAAGCTTTTTCAGTTTCAGTACTGAACAACCATACCTGAATGATTTGAGAATCTCCTTAGTTATGTTAGGGGAGTAAAACCAGCGAAATGATTATATTGCTACAATCCTCATTGCTGTGTTTTATGTGTTTGCAATCTGGGGTGTGTGTGTGTGTGTCTCCTGGATTTATGACTCCTGCTTGAAAATAGGTGGCTGTTGCGGCTAGGAGGATCTTAGAGCAACTTTGTACTGTATTATCAGTTGTACCCATTTCTGAATCCGGAGGCTGTGCTCTCAGTTACTCATGCTCTGGTCACCTCCCAAATGGACTGTACAGTACACTCTACATGGGGCTCCCCTTGAAGAGTATCCCAAAGCTTCAACTGGTGCAAAATCTGGAGTGGGCAGTTATATATGCTCCTAAAACTGCACATGTTAAACCTCTGTTCTGTGAGCTGCATTGGTTGCCAGTTTACTTCCAGATTCAATGTGTTGGTTTTAACTTTTAAAGTCCTAGATCAGGGGTCTGTAACCTTAAACACTCAAAGAGCCATTTGGACCCATTTCCCACAGAAAAGAAAGCACCAGGAGCCACAAAACCCTTCCCGTGCCTGACTATTTCTTGAGCAGCCACAAAACACATATGTAGTTGAATTAAACATTCTGTTTTCTTCTGAAACTTTCCTTTTCTTGGATTTATCCATGGTTGGCCTATCGGGGGTTGAAAAGCTCAATAAATGGTGTGCTGGCAAGTGTCATACATTGGCAGCTGTGAGTGATATTTTGAGTAACCGGGAGCTGCAGCAGAGGGGTGAAAGAGCCACATGCGGCTCCAGAGCCGCAGGTTGCTGACCCCTGTCCTAGATAGCATGAGGCTGGATTATTGGAGGGATTACTTCTCCCTGGTTATATTTACCTGTCCTATCAGGTCTGATAGGAGGGGTTTATCAGGCAGTAAAAGAGATGGAAGGAGAGTTGCACTTTCAGGCTTGCAAGATTCTATTAATGAAGTCTCACAATAAAGCAGATTTAGCCCATCTGACTGTTTGAAATTTTAGCTGCCTAGGAAGGCTGACAGCAAGCTTGAGGATCCCATGGAAATAGGGAGCCCATGAAATGGCTATACAACAACTGCCTTGTTTGGAGACCATTTGAAGTTATGACAATGCTGAAAAAGAATTTCACAAATGGCCTACAACAGATAGTAAGTGCATCGTATTCACGTGATGTTTCACTTAATAACCATGTTGCTTATCAATGGAATTGTCAGCCCGGATTGTGGTTGTTAAAACAAGAACTACCTATATTGCATGTATTGAAAGTGCTCTTCTGTTGTTTTAGTTATGTTTTAATTGTTTAATGGTTTTTAAAGTTTTATTTTTAATGGTGCTATTTTTATTCTGTGCCACCCTGGGTTACATTCATAAGATGGGGTGGCTATATCAATTTGATAAATAACTAAATAACTTTAAATATACATACAAAACAGATCAAAGGAATAAAAGTAAGAGCTTTCTTATTTGGCTGACATAAAAAATGCTATGACAGCAACATCACTGTCCCCATTAATTCTGTTTTTGCTTCTGGATTGGGTCATACTCCCCAGGCAGAACTGGCACACAATTTGGGGCCCTCTTGGACTCACAATTCCTGCTTGAACTGATGGCAGCCATAGCCAAGAGGTCTTTTCTGCAACTCCATCTAACGCACCAGGTGCCCTAATTCCTAGATTGGGAGGCTCTGCTTCACAATCACTGGCTGCCTGGACGATTGCAATGTGCTCTACATGGGGCTTCCCTTGAAGATCACCTAGCGATCTAGTTGGTCCAGAATGCAATGCTATGGGTAGCTATATGCCTGTGTAACGCTACCACTTCAGGAGCTACATTGGCTTCCTATCAGCTTCTGAGTGCAATTCATTTTACTGCTTATCGCCTATCAAGCCTTTGATGGCACAGAATTATTAGCAGGATTACTAATCTCCAATTATGCCTGCCTCTCCCGCAGGATCCAACAGAGTAGATATGCTTCAGGTCTTTCCATGAATCAGAGCCATCTATTGGGACGTAGGAGGCATGCCTTCTCTGTCACAGTACCTGCCCTTTGGAACAGCAATCTCTGCCATCAGCCTTGCTCCACTGGATCTGAATGGCCCTGATGCTATGGGTTTTCCGTAATGCTTTAAAAGCTTGGCTTTCCCTACGAGCACTGGATTAGGCTATTGTATCAACTCATCTAGAAAATAGTTTAGAATTCTGAACCTACTGTACTCTATCCTGAGCCTTGATTTATGCTGTGCGGTTGTGGTTTGTGTTTGTTGGTTAGCTTGATTTGTTTTTAATCCTTTGTTCACCAACCAGAGAGGTATTTGTGAGTGGTGGCCATCAGGGTTGGGTTCTAAATTTTTTACTAACGATTCTGTGGGCGTGGCTTATTTTGTGGGCGAAGCTTGATGGCCATGTGACAATTATTTAGGATTTAGCCGAGGTACTGGTCTACCAGGCTTTTAACTGTTTGCAGAGCTGTACCGATCTACCCATTTATTTTTTTGCAGGCACTGGTTTACCCATTTATTTTTGCAGGATCTGATCTACTCATGTATTTTTGCAGGCACTGATCTACTCATGTATTTTTGCAGGCACTGGTCTACTCATTTGTTTTTTTTAACACTGATCAGCTGGAGGGCGGCCCTTGGAAGCCCCACGGCAAGAGTTTAAACAGGTTTTTTCCCCTCTAGCCATCAGCTGGGACTCAGGAGGCAGCAATAGATTGGGGGTGGGGCCAAATAAAAGGTAAGAATAAGGCGGGGTGAGGGGACGTGGGGGCCCCAGAACTGGTTCGGTGATGTCATATCATCACCGCTACCGGCTCGGGAGAACCAGGCCGGACCGGGAGGAACCCACCACTGGTGGCCATGCAAAGAAATCCACAGGCATTCTGCAGTTAGTGACACGAGGGTAATCAAATGGCTACAAGTTACCCAAATGCTTCTAAAAAAGCCCAGAAGTCTGATAGCGCCTTTTCCAATTTGCTCGAATCAACGGAGGCTTTAAATTACCACACCTCTCAGGTGGCAACAACCTTGTACATTCATTCAGAGCAATATCAATCACTATTCTGCTAAATCTTGAATTTATTACCAAGTTTGTTGGGGGGAGCGTGGGGTGGTCACGCACACATGTGCTGGGGGCATGGCCTGTGGGGGGGCATTGCATTATGCGTGTTAGCATGTAACAGCACCCAAGGAAAAAAAGGTTCGCCATCACTGCTATACAGTATTGAAGATTTCATTATGGAGGTTCCAGTGCATTTGGTTCCCCACTAGGGGACTCCCTTATTTTATTTTTATTTTTTTTTAATTGATTTATATGCCGCCCTTCTCCGGAGACTCAGAGCGGTTTACAATGCATTACACAATAGCCTTCATACTTTTGTATATTTATACAAAGTCAGCTTATTGCCCCCACAATCTGGGTCCTCATTTTACCTACCTTAGAAAGGATGGAAGGCTGAGTCTACCTTGAGCCTGGTGAGATTCGAATTTACAGTAATTGCAGACAGCTGGTGTTAATCACAATGCTTTTAATCTGCTGAGCCACCAGGCCCTTATAACGCCTTCAAAAATCTGCAACTCTACCAAAAGTATAATACCTTCATTTTCTCCATTCCTGCATTAATTTGTCTATTGGTTTTGTAATCTGTGGATATGGCAGACAACTCTGCAGAATATTCCAGTACTGAATATGCTGTTCAAATGTCTCCCTTGATACCCATCAAGGTCTTCTCCACTTCATTTTTTATGTTAAGTTAACACATGCCCACATACACTGACACAAAGAAATCTGTTTTGCTGCCAGTCAAACCAGGCCTCAAGGACCATCTTTATTTCTCAAAATGTGTCTGGGCCTCAAATGAGCCCCTAAAACGTCTTTAGAAAGCCAAAAGTCACTGATTTGTTTAAAAGTATCCAGTAAAAGGATGAAGACAAATATCTCTATAAGTTTCTTCTGAACTCCAGCATCTAAGCAGACTTCTATCCAGGGGTGTCAAACTGGCAGCCCACGAGCCGGATGCATCACATGCGA